CATCGCAGCAGCTGCAGACAGCGCGCCCCATCCTGTGGCTGAAACCGGTACCTCAAAAGCAGCTCTCATCTGCCATCAGGTTTAAGCAAAACTGGATTTAACGTGTTCTCAGGTGCTACGCAGCCTACGTGCACATTGCCAGCAAGGCAAAACAATTATGCAGTAACCAGGATTATTTTTTTTTAAGGCTGTGTCAGATTTGATCAGACTGAAGTTAATAACTGCTCTTATAACCTGATGCGGCGCTCATTTATCAGGCAACTTGTACACTTCTGAGTGGCAGAAGAGGCATTTCGAATGGCTTTTACAGCACAGCATTCAACAACATAATGCACTCATTTACTACAGTTTGAAACCAGTGCTTTGCACGTGGAAACCAGTTTTATTATATAAATAAAACAACCAAACCCAAAAGAGGAAAAAAGTACTGTGTCCAAAATCAAATGGCAACAGATAATGCAAAAATAAAATATTTTAAAAGTGTTTTAGGATTGCTTATTATTATTATTATTATTATTGCCCTTATGTGTAGGGCCATGTGCATTTGCACATGTGTATGTACCCATGTCTGTGCATGCATGAGCTCATGTCTGCATGTGCGTGCCTTGGTTTGCATTCACTATTTTGTAACCTAACAAAAAAAAAAAAAAAACCTGTCAGAAAAGCTGACTTTCTTTTATAGCCTCAGCATAAGCAAAATACACATTCCCTCCAGTGCTTTTTTCAAGAGATATCATGATGTGAAGTCATCAGTCTGTTACCACCTTTGTGTAGCAACCCATCAGCAGACAAGCAGTTCCTGGGATGGTAACTTACATGGAGGACTTCAAAGCAAACAAGAACCATATACATTATTTACATGATTTGCTATTTTTGGTTCTGCATTTTATACAGAAAACCAAAATGAATGATTCTGATGCTTCAGAACGCAGTCAACAATTTTACCATAGACATCACTACGTATCACACAGTAGTTAAAATTTTCTTCTTTTGGTCACTAGCATAAGAAACTAAACAAAGGTAGGGGCTTCCTGTTTGTGACTTCGTTACCCTTACACATTCTTCATTTCAGCTGACCTTTAACAGTGTGTAGTAGAAATGCTGAGTCACAGCTTGAAGCAGTGATGGAGCACCAGATGGGAAGGCAGGGCCAACCCAGGGGAGCTCAGGTGCAGGCAATGTGCCTGAGTGATTGGAAGGGGTGGAGCCAGGATCCAGCCTATCCCAGACCATTTAAGGGTTGGCAGTAGAGGTAAGCATATTTTGCTGGAGATCCCTGCATGCCTGAGGTCTTCTAAAGGTAAGCAATTTTCTTCCTTTGTTTCTGAGTCCATGGCTGCTGCATTTGGGCTTATCCTTACTACCCTGCTATCGTTGCTGTGCTTTCTATCATATTATAGTGTTACAGTATTCTCACAGAAATAGGTAACAGAATAAATCAAGTCCAATGCCTCTTAATTTTATCATTACAGCTCCAAGTTATTAAGTCCTGATTTCTTTCAATGTTAGAAGCATGATTTCAGGGACAGTGGATCAAACACTAAAGCTACTGTAGATGTTACATGAAACATTTTTGGCTTTTTGTGATTTGGATTTTTGTTTTCTTTGAATGACAGTTGGGAAACTTTTTCTTGCTTCTTTAATGTTTTGGTCCCTTCAAGTAAACAGTAGGAATGTTAGATTATACCAAAAAATAAATTACCTTTCCTTCCAGTGAATATCTACAGACACCGTTTCAGCGACAATCTCTAGAACACTGAGATCTGGGGGAAGTGTCACTCACTAAACAATCTGTTCTCTTTGTAACAAACTGAGAGGATTACCCACACCATTCAACCTTTTAAAAAAAAAAAACAACACTAGAATCTTGGTATTGACAATACAACTTTTGCTTCAACATTCATGCAGTAAATGAGTAATTAAGTATACAGTGAGGCTGTGGCTTGACTCATCACTGAGTCATTGTAGGTCTGTTAAATAGGTTCATGACATTAAGCCTTGCTTTCAACCATGGAGTCCTTTCAAGCTCAACTTTACAGGACTTGTCAGTCAGTTAAGTTTGCTCCAAAGCAAAAAGTCTTTTTTGTTTTTCTTCTTTGCTGGTAAAGCAATAGCCTAAAGAAGGGGGACAAGCTGCAGACAGAGGTCCCCAAACATTACAATCACCATGGCTGTCTCCAGAGCAGTGGCAGAAAACGTTACTGGCCTAGGACAGCACAGTCACATGTATACTCCTCACATCAATTCCCAGCTTGAAGGGCTTCTGGACACACAGAGATGGTTAAAATTGTTCCAGGGCACGTGCAAGAGCTCCTTCACGGGATGCTCACATACCAGTTTGAGCCAGGAAAAAAGATTGCTAAAGGCAGGCTTTCAGATCAATGGAAAGACAAAAAAAGAGACAATTAACACACCCACATGAAAACCAACTGATGAAAGGCAGTGCAAGATTTATCTTTTCAGTTGTTTCAGACATTCACTTTGATCCCACTGGAGAGGCTTTTAAGGGCTCAGACAACTATTGCCAAAGGCCAGGTGAGAGAAGGGGCCGGTACTGCCAAGTGGTTTCAATTGAATTCCAGAAGAGAAAATACTTCTCAGCACTGCTTTTTGTAGCAGTTAGCTTGAGTATGAGCAAAATGGAACCATGAAAAGGAGGGAGAGGGGGAAAGATGGAGGTAGTTGAACTATAACTTCCAGACGTAGGATGGACAGACTTTAAAAGCCCAGTAGAGTGAAGGGTAATCTTAAATTTCCTAAGGAGACACTCAACCCTCCTTCAATTAATGATACAGACGCAGCAAAATGTTTCTTCAGGTATCCAACTTGCATGCTGCCATTGCAGCTTTATTATTTATTGCACTTTATCCTACTTTTGAATGTCAGAACTGATTCTAGTCTAACAGTAAGGTACCCAAATACCTGAAACAAGGTGTTGGAGTGGGAGAACTTAGAAGTGATGTGTAGCAACATATCAGAGCCCACATTTAACCTTACACAGCAGTTAGAGAGGCAGAACAAAGCTGGTATTGCAAGGGATTCGTCTCACATCACTAATGATATGATAATTAAATAGCTTAAAACAATTTTCCTCATTACTTGACTAAGTAATCTTATCTTGCTTAAGCCCAACTATTGAAAGGCTGCAGAGCTGTAAACCTTTTACAATTTTAACAAACTGCAACTGAGGAAATTGCACATCCACATCAGCACACCTGCATTATTCAACCAACCATTAGCAGCTAAATACAAAAAGGAAAGTGTAATACTGCAATGCATGCATTTAATCCCACTCCTGAAGCATTTCAAGTCAGGTTTACTTTGCAGGACTACAATTGCTGCCTACTCCTAAGTTTCTGAGGACTCTAACATTTAAGAATCTCACAGTCACATCAGTTTTTAAGGATGAGCTATCTCACTCTTCTTTAGAAGTCTTTAGCTGCTTGGTAATTCAAAGCCTAGCACCTGGGTGGAGCAGGGGAGTTGTAGAGATTACACCACATACACTATGAAATTATACAAATGTAACTCATGCTGTATTCTTTTCCACCCTTCACTATCACCACAGTGTAATTACTTTGCTGAATTACCTACACTTCTGAAGCAGTGTATTTTTGTGAGATCACTTGAAGGCTTCCCCACCCAGTAAGTCAGCAGCAGGTACTCAAGCTAGCAGTAGCAACCAGGACACACACCAGTTAGTAAACTCTACAGAGAAGAACCTGTAATACGAAGCTGAAGCAAAATGATGCAGCAGGAAGTTCCAGTGGGATGTTAAGTCAAAGTTTTTCTTTTCCCAAGGCAAGCGTGACATTCCTCATTTCCTCTGCAGTCTCAGTGCTTGCAATCTCAATTTTAAAATCCCACAGAACTTAAAACTTACACAAATTATATAATATTGTTCTCAAACATTTAATAGTCAATTCTTGCTGATATGCATCAGAATGAAGTGTTAAGAAATGGTCAAGTAGGAGTTATGTATACAAACATGCAAGTTAAAAGGAATGAAATGCTCCACTTTATTAAGAAACAAAAAATACAAAACTGAGGAGTTCCAAGGCTTCACATACTCAAACACTACTGAAAAATGGTATTTTTGTTTACTGGTAGTACTAATGTTGACCAAGATTAATCTCTATAAATGTTGATGTTTTCCATCATTTGTGCTGGAATAAGCTAGTTTCAAATTAAGAACTTGGTGCAGTTACAGTAAAGTCCAGGTATTATATGGGGTTTCAGTTAATATGTTGTTCTTTAGCCAAGAGCATTTTAAGCTCATCTACGACTGTCTTCTAGTTAGTGAGGTTTAAGATGCTTAGTTTAATCAACTATAGCTCTACTGAATGATGCTCCATGCAAAGATACAGCTTGTAGTCACTTAACAGACCTAAATGTCATTTATTCTTGGCTACTTAAGAAAACAGCTCTGTGAAGGCATGTTGTAATAATGCAGTTAAAGTTAAGAGACAGTATCTAAAGGTAGCATATGCCAGCTGAACTACATACTTAACTCTCAAGACATTCCTCAGAGCACATAAACATTCCCACTCAGTGTGGGTCAATTTATGCTTGCTGGCAGTCCAGCTCCACACACCAGTCAAGTGTTCACTGCTTTAGTTTTACCTGGCAGTTAGTTCAGCTTCCTTCAGATGCTTTAGTTATATGCTTCAGGAAATGAAAGGTTAACTGTTAGCTCTGTTTTACTAAGAGGAGCATAACAAAGGGAAGAAAATATTAAGAATGCAGAGACAGACAAGCATTAGCCTCAGTTAAAAGACACCTTCAAGACTTTCTAACAACGCATGAAAATTCACTTGCTTAGAGATATTTGAAATACAACTTTATTATCTAAACAAAAAAAAAAAAGAATGGGAATGACAGAAACAAGATTAACCACATAACACTTTGATGTGACTGCAGCAGTCTTATATTTGAAACTCAAAAGGGAAAGTAATTGCAGTCCAAAAAACAGCTAAATATGCAGGTCCAAAATTATGAAGTTTTGTTGTTTTTTTTTTTTTTTGTTTTGAACTGCCACACTCACTCCGAAGCCCATTCATCTCTTTCAGCATCCCAAAGATTAAGCACATGTTCTGCTCAGCTAGATAATAAAGTGGCAAACACGCTGCACCACTGACATCACAGGACAGTTGCCTATAAAACTAGACTTCTGACGCTGGGCTCCAGCTTCATCCCTCACAGGTCATCATCTTCATCTGGCAGTGCAGTGGTTTGAGCAATCTGGAAAAGAGAAGTAACATTAGGAATCGTTCGTGGTTACTTGCCCCAGGAATCCAGATACTATCTGCCAGGTAATCATTTGACTTTAGCACTCTTCCTCAGTTACCTGTAAGTCTTGCTCATACTGTGCTGCCAGTGCTGGGTCCATAACAACTTCAGGTGGTGCAAGAGCAGGCATGGCAACAAATTCCAAGTTAGGATCTCCAATTAGCTTCCTAGCAAGCCAGAGGAACGGCTTCTCGAAGTTGTAGTTACTCTTGGCTGAAATGTCATAATACTGGAAAAAAAAAAGTATATTTAATACATAAGACTATTTACCACCAATATTAGAACATAATAAGACGCACAGAATCAGCTCTAATGTCTTGGTATTCTTTTTAACTTCATGACTTCTATGCCCTCAGAAGCATTTGAAATATGAGAGACTAGAAATGTGGTTTCCATACCAATAGGCAGAAATTGATACTCTTAAGAAACAGTGTGACCAAAGATGACTTCTGGACACAACAGCACCTCTACTTTTCCCCTGTGACTTGGGTCTAGTTTCATCTTATTCCTAACTCTGAAGGACTGAACAGCACACAAATGCAGTTAACAGACTTAATGAATCTGTAATCCTGCAAACTCATGCCATCATACCTGGAGATTCTTCTTCCTGTGGAAGACAATGGATTTTGCCTTGACTTTTCTGTCCTTAATATCCACTTTGTTGCCACACAACACTATAGGGATGTTTTCACATACCCGTACCAGGTCTCTGTGCCAGTTAGGTACGTTCTTGTAAGTAACTCTTGATGTTACATCAAACATTATAATGGCACATTGAGCTGTAAAAAAAAAAAAAAAAAAAAACCCAAACAATTACATCAGACAAGAAAGCACTTTCTTATAAAATGGAGTGGGAAAGGGTACCCACAATAATCACTTATTGGGGCATCAGAATTAGCTTTTCTCCTCAGTCTCACAGTTGAAAATACACTGTCTGCCAGATCAGATGCAGGAAGATCAGGGTGCAGGAGTCCACAGAACTCAGCCCATGACCCTGTCCCTGTCATCTTAACTTAAATGCCAACCAGTTTTATTCATGCAGCTGTCCTCTGAACATTCTGCTGTTGTATGGCATGAATTACACAAGGGTTACGAAAGAAAATTCACCTAAATATCTGAGAAAACCATCTTAACACCTACTGAACTAATCTCAGCCTATCGAGGCTTTCAGATAAGTTGAGAGCTTGTAGTTCACATCTCAGAATGCTCCTGTCCAGAACAGCTTGCAAAACAACACTTGATTCTGATATTTCTTAAAGAAAAGTCAGTCTTTAAGCCTCCCTTCAGAATGTTAAGAGCTATGCAGGTGACTTAAGTACTCACAAAACAGAGCTTGAAGATAAAGGACTATCACTGCATCTTTAGAAAGGCAACTACATACACTTGCTAGAGGCTTGAACTTCTTTATACTATTTCAAGTTTTACAGTTTGTTTCTTCCAAGTCTCTGCACCAGCACAAGATACTAATACAGGCAATTTTTGCTCACTTAAGCACACTTATCTCTTAATCACTTAATTTCATGAGAACTATCACTTAAGGTTCATGATTACTCTCCAGTGATATCAAAGCAGCAGCAGACTGAAACTAAGTTTTAGTACAGAAACTTATCTGATCATATTTATACAGAGTTTGAAAACTCATAAAGCAACTCACCACTCAAAGCCCCATTGAAAGCTTTCGGAGGGGTCAAACTGAATAGAATACAGGATCTCTCTACATATAAACGCATCTTACCTTGGATGTAATAGCCATCTCGCAGACCACCAAATTTCTCCTGGCCAGCTGTGTCCCATACGTTAAATTTAATAGGGCCTCTATTAGTATGGAATACCAGAGGATGAACTTCAACACCCAACGTTGCTGCAGTGATAGGAAAGAGCACTCAGTAAGTTGAGAACTATACTTTCAATTGTAACACACTAGATCTCGAATATTTCTTCAGACATACCTACGTATTTCTTCTCAAATTCACCAGTCAAATGACGTTTCACAAATGTTGTTTTACCAGTGCCACCATCACCAACCAGGACAAGCTGTTAATACAATTGAAAAAGAAGGTCAGAGCGACGTACTTTGTCTTACAAAATACTGTAAAGCAAACACTGAAACTCCTGACCAAACTCAGCTGGTCCTTATAGTTGAGAACTAGAACACATTGTCCATACAGTTATACTAACATACAAGCATCTCAATTACTGGAGGAAAGAACTGTAATCTTGCAATTGGAAAAAAAAAAAAAACAAAAACTGTTTTACTAACAAATGAGATATACTGGATGAAGACTGTAAAAAAAAAAAAGTATCAGTCTTCCATGAAGCAGTCTTAATGACTTCTGGCCATTAAGGTAACAACTCTACTCAATAATGCTCTGCCCCCAGTAGTTGATACAACATAAAACAGTTGCTCTAAATAACTCTTAACACTTTCTTTATTGCTGTGAATATCACTCCATGCAGTCAACACGTTTTAAATGGCGCTTTATGTAAAGTTATTTTTATATAGAGCTGCAAATAGCACCAGATTGATAGTGGAACAGAATGTTGTTGTAAAGCAATGCAGCACACAATGGGTTAGGCACACTGCTAAGAAGTCAGCACTTTAAAACCAAATCTACCATCCACAGCAGTTCTTGAGAGTTGTTCTTGCTACTCTTCCAAAGGAAGAGGAAGAAAAATACAAAATTAAGACCCCTTACCTTAAACTGCACTTGGGGCTCTCCTTGGGCGGCCATGCTGGGTCTGCAGGGGAAATGGAAGCATGTGAGCTCACAGAGGCGAGCTGGTTCAAGGCCCCGCCGGAAGGGGCCGGCCGCCGCTTTCGGCTCCCAAACCGCCTCCCGGGGCGCGTGCTTCGCGCGCCAGTCAGCGGCCGTCGCCGCGTAGGCCGAGCTACGGTCCGGGCCGCCGCTCCCCTCCCCGTGCGTGGTCCCGGGCCTCGGATGGGGCAGGAAGAGTCTCCGGGCCGCCCCGCACGCGGCGGGAGCGCGCGGTAATGGCGGCAACGGCTCCCCGCCCGGCCCCGGAGCCCGTAACGGAAGGCCGCCGCGCCCCTCGGGCTTCCAGGCTACGAAAACGGGGCCGAGCCGCGGCCCCCGCGGGGCGCCTCAAAGAAAGCCGGCCTCGCTCCATAGGAAGCGACGCCCCGCGTGACTCTCCCAGCCCGCTGGAAAACCCTCTCGGGCGGCGGAACTCGGAACTCGTCCCGCAGTACTCCGAACGCGGCCCCCATCCCCGCGACGCCGGCCGGGCCCCACCGCATCATGACTGAGCAGCGCGCCGCCTCCCCTCCCCCCGCGGCCGCCTGGGCCGTTGGAGGCCCCGCTCCCATTCTCCTCCCGCCCGCCCTTTCCTCCGAGACGGAGACGGGCGCCGTTCTCGTCCCGCACCGCTCCCATCCAGGGGCGGAGGCCAGGGCCACGCAGGCACGGCGCCCGGCGCGGCACTCACGCGGGCCCGGCCTCAGCTCGACTCAGCCCGGCTCCCGCAGAGCGGCCGCTAACGGAAACCGCCCCCACCGCCCCATTCGCGGCGGTCCCGCTTCCCCCTACGCGGCCCTACAGAGAACAGAAGGACGTCCCGACCCCGTTACCTTTCCCGAGGCTTCTATCCGCGTCGCTCCGTGCCGTGACTGGGCGCTGGAAAGATGGCGGAAGCGCGGTTCAAATACCCGGAGAGCGACGCCGCGCGGCCGCGGGGAGGGGGAGGGGCCGGCGTCACGTGGGCGGGCGGGCGCGCCGCTCGGACCCGCGGCGGCCGTTGTTGGGCGCCATTGCCGCGGCTGGCTGGGCCGGCCCGGTTCCTCAGGATCCGGCGCCTCATGTCCGCGCGGCCGGCAGCCGTTGGACCACGCGGCTGCCGCTGGAAAGGAGGCGGCTGTGCAGTGCTTGGCTCCGCGCTGCCCCGTAGCATTTCTGTAAACCCTCACATTCAGAGCGTAGCAGAACGAAGTTGTTCGTAAACTCTCTTTGAAAGGACGGAGCAGATGCTTTGCAGAGAGCGATGCATTCCCAGTTTCTGGCTTCACACTTGTGTCCGTGTGCTCTGATTTTTCCCCTGCTGTGGTTAGGCAGTGTTCGTGTGGTCTGCATAATGCCGGTTGGAGCATCCATAATCTAGAATTGATGGATTTTTAAACGCCTCTGTCCTGAAATAACACCAGTGTTATTCAGTGGTAGATGTTACATGCAAGTGCAGCTTATGTCCTGTCCATCTCCCACTTTGTAGCAAAATGGAGAGAAAATCTGCAGGAGCCACTGCACTTTGCTCTACATTTTGTTTATTTGATAGCAATTGAATCTTAAGCATTGCATAAGATTTTCTTTGTTGGAAAAACACTGTCTTGCTGAGCTGGTTGCTTCTTTTCTTTTTTCTTTTTTTGGACAAACTGGATTTTTGGTGCTTGTTCTGTTGGTGTTCTTTAGCACGTTTGCTGATCACCTCCAGGTGCTAGGAAGAATATGGAATATGTTTTGGAGTATATAGCCCATACATTTTCCTCAGCACAGTAATACCTTTATAAAACCCATGTGAATTCTACTCTTCTTCTTGACTAATAGGTGTACATTTATAAATAGGAGCCCACAAAGCCATGTTAATGGAGTTTGGCAGTTTTTAATATGAAAACTTCCAGGGAATAAAAAAATCAATCTCTAACTTTGTTTGCAGAATGCTCAGTGTACTTCACAAACTTCTCAGAGTAAGAATTTATAAGTTAACAATCTTCTCTTTCAAACATGAGCAGTAATACTATTTGATACTTGGAATAAGTAAAATCAATGGCTAAAAGTCCCTTACCACAAGTCTTGAACTCCCGTCAAATATTTGCAAATTCTTATAAATTATTGCGTGGGATCCAGGTGTTATCATCATGCAAAAGTCAGTGTTCAGTTCAGAGGATGTACAAAACACCTGCTCCTGATAGCTTCATTCAGGAAAGGCAACAGAATGCTTCCAAAGTGTTCATCAGCAGTGTTAGATCACTATCTAAGAGATTAGCCAGCTATCACTAGATGATCAGCAGAATAATTACCTTTAAAACACTTCTACGTGACATTCCCCATATCTTGATTTGGGTCAGCCATGAACAAACTCAGCATCTCGCTGAGGCAGACAAGTGTGCAAGGTAAAAGGCAGACCCTTCAGTAAGGGTGTGAAGGTGCCCACGAGGAATGGTGCAAAAGGATACATTCACAGAGCTGAACGGTATCTTAACTTACTGACTGCCTTATTAGCAGGAAACAAAATCAGTTTGTAAACTGTGACAAGGACAACATGTGGACATATCTCTCAGGTCAAGCCGTGATTGTGGAAGCATCTCTGGAATAGGAGCTCCAGCAGGAGCCAAGGTCTACGCTGATATTCAAGGCAACACCAGAAACTGCACTGAAAGGTTTGAAGGGAGGTTAGTGACTTTCAGCACGGCAGGCAAAATGGATCACACGCTAGTAATAGCAGTTTACGGTGCTGTAATGAAGTTTACATTTGCAGTCTAACACTAGAATAAAATTCTTTACTGCTTTGGGGGTCCTATCACTGCAAGGCAATGCTTTTCAACGCCTTGTAGCTGAAGAATTACAAAAAGTGGGTGCTCCATCTTCTGCTGCAGGAGAGCGTGCTTCTCCTTTCCACTCAGAAACGGGTCGCTCAGCTGCCGCGCGGTGAGCAGCAGCCCGTGCGCTGCTGGGACTAACCGTGATTTTGAGAAGCCTATCCACGTCTAACACCAGAGAAAAATTAAATGAAATGCAACGACATGGCAACGTTTTACAACTCTCTCCCTCGCGACAGTCACGGTTTCTTGAGGGTATATATTCGGCAGCACTGCCGCCTCGAGAGCGGAACCTCCCTGCGGGTCACTGCAGTACGGTACAGCCGCGCGCGCCCCTGCACACGCACGTACGCTTTCCCGCCCATTCTCCCCACGGCACAACCCCGCCCCCTCCGCTCGCGCAGCCGCAGATCCCTTCCCGCCCAGCATCGCCCGCCCGTCGCGTCAGAGCCAAGGCGGGCTTCCCGGTGCGGCGGGTGCCGCCGGGGGCTCGTAGGCCGCATGCGCGAGGCCTCGTAGCGTCACTCCGGGGCACTGGGGGCGGGTGTGCGCTGCGCCGTGGGCTCCGGTTCGTCGAGACGTCGTGTGGGGAGGGGTCGCAGCCGCCGCCCCACGCACCGCGGAAGGAGGGCGGGGCCCGAGCGCTGGGCCCGGCCTGAGCGGGGCGGCGGCGGCTACGGTGGCTGCTGCGAGCAGGCGGCGAAGGGCGAGCGGACCCGCGGGCGCGGCACTCGGCGAGGAGCTGAGGCGCCGCGGGGATGAAGGACCGGCTGGCTGACCTAGCAGAGGTGAGGGCGGCAGGGGCCAACATGGCCGTGGGGCGTAACGGTCGGAGAGGGGTGCGCGGCCCGGGCCGCCGCAGCGGCGCCACAGGCGTGTCCTCGGGCGGGAAATGCGCGGGCTGCGGGGCTCCGGCCGCGCCGAGCGCGTTTTGCTGCCCTGCGGTGCGGGACGGGAGGCGTGTAACCGGCAGTGCGTCGGTCCAGCTCTCCGCAGGGTTTATTTTGCCCGTGTTGACAAAATGGAAGCGTGGCGTGTTTATCCGTTCCCTTCCTTCCCTTCGTTTTTGTTCTGGAAACGACGTTCTGAGAAAGAAAATGGGGTAGTTAGAGGGAGGTGCGGCGATGCCTCTCATCAACAGGATGTGGCCTGGTATAAATGAAAATTTTCCTGCATGGCTTTTCACTTTTTTTTTTTTTCTAATCTGAGAATAAATAGAAATAGTGAACACCAGTGTATGTTGTAAATGCTCTCCCTTTTTGGTTAAGTGTGGTATTTCTTTTAGAAGAAATAGAAACTGAAGTTTACACGTTGTTAGAAGTGGTAACGCCTTTCTTGAGCCCTCTTTTTGAAGGGGAGAAAAATGTTACCTGTCAGTTCTTGTGGTTTATTAAGGTATAACATTGTAGCTTTTTTATATTGTTGTTAATACATTGTATTTAGTACTTAAATAGTGTTAAAATACTTGCTGGAGAAAGAAATTGCTTGCCTGTAACAGTTACTATAGACTTCAGGTAATACTGCATCCCCTTTGCAACTAGAGGAAATCATGCCTTCTATAGAAGGTGGGAACCTTAGTGTTGTGCTGAACCTGTTGGCTGCCTGGTACACCTTGACTGTCAGCAAAGGAGCAATGTCGGTGCTCTGAAAGAATCTCTTGAAACACGTGTGGTTTGAGTGGGGGAAGTCTGGTGTCTACAGATTTCATGACACCTGGGGCAACACCTCTGCAGTAGGAAATTCTCTAATAAGTATTTAAGGAGGCTTAGAAGACTTCAACTTTAATGTGGGACCTACGGAGATCAAGTTCAGTTTCCTGACCTCTTCAGTTTTAACCAAAAGTTAAAGTATTGAGAGCATTATCCAAACGATACCTGAAGACGTGGGATGTCAAACCACCATGCCAGGTTGTCTGTTCTAGTTTCTAACCACCTTTGTGGTGAATAACTTCCTAGTGCCTGATCCAAACCTCCCAGGTGCAGTTCTGTGCTGTTCTTGTGTAAGCTGACATCAGTTCTATGAGAAAAGAGCCCAGCACTGCCTCTGCTTCCCCTCCTCGGTAAGCAAGTTATAGGGAGCTAGGGCATCAACTTAATCTCCTTTTTCTCCAGATTAGATAAACCAAATGATTTGAGAGTGCATAAAAACGCATTAAGTAGTATTTTTTACGAGTTAAAGGTTGCTTGTTTAACAAAGGTAATGAGTTACCTGGGACAGGCAACCATAAAGATTTACAGTGTCCTGAACATTGCTTCCTTATACGCCGTTCAGTTCTATGAATAATGTGGGAGTGCATGTGTAAAGCTATGGTGTGCAGGGGCAGCTGTGAATCTGGTATTTGTGACTCTCAGACATGTTTCTATCCCAAATAACTTCAGACAGCACAGTTTATTTAGCCTGTAAGTTCTCCGTGCAATTTTTAAAGGTATTGTAAGTTGTGCATGGACAGCAGCTAAGCACCTGCTGCATTCTCAGAGTGGAGGTAGATGGGGTGTGGTGGTGCTGTACTTCAGGAGCTGATTTCACTGCAGTGTTCTGCTCCAGTGTGTCAGCTGGTTGGCTCTGACTCACTGGGGTGGTGATGGTCAGTTCTTTTTGTAGCCTGACACAAGAAGACAGCTCATGATCTGCAGTGAGAATGACTTTGAATTGAATTCAGGGGCAAGTAAAAGTCATTTTTAAACCAAAAATCTGTTCTATTTCAAAATTTAGTAATTAATTTGGTAAGAGTTCTTGAACTAGCCTTACTTCTGCCATTATGGAAGGCATGCATAATGTCAGAAGTTGAATAAAGCATCCCATCTCAGCTGGGAGCCGAGAGAAATATTTGCCCAAGTATCCGGATTCTGTCATTTAACCCCACCTTTGAAGAAACTTGATATGTTTTGTATGTCTGAATGTTAGAGGTGTATGGCCCAGATTCTCAATCCCAAGGTCAAGATTAGAGCTGCCAACAGACCATTAGCTTGCTGTTGGCATCAACATGAGACTTTTTTTAATCAGTTCTTTTTGTAATAGTACTTATTCTATAGAGATAAGGCTTAGGAATATGTTTCTGCTAAATTTCATCTTGGATGGACTGTGCTTGTCAAAAGAACATGTCACTTCAGTTGAAGAGTTAGTGAATAAGCTGTGTCTTAGGTATA